TCTTCGTTTAGGGTTTAGGGTTTAGGGTTTAGGGTTTAGGGTTTCATGGGTTCAGGGCGGCCCTATGGGCTTTGATAGGGCTGGCTTGGTGTTCCAAAACTCAGAGTATCCCTACGAGAGCTCCGCGATGAACCCTAGCATGACTAGCAAGGTCCGGCGGTGGACCCGCTGCCCCCACATTTTGACAATGAGGAGTTGAGGAGCCCTTGAAAACGTTGTGATTTTACCATTTGGTTGTCTAAGGTCCGAAATCCCAGGAAGAAAAGGCTTCGCGAATAATTGAAGAAACAGTTCCCCGACGAACCTCTAAACCTAGTCGGTTAAAGTTGCAATCGCTAATCGATACGCTGCAACCCCAAAACCTAGGCAGAAAAGAGTGAGAGACGAACTGTTAGTAGTCGTCGTGAAGCGTTGTCGAGAGTGAATGTGAGTGCGTGATTGAGGGAGTGCGTGAGGGAGGGAAGTGAGTGAGGGAAGGGAGTGAGCGTCGACTGAGGCTTATGTGTGCGGCCCAAGACAAGATCAAGAGCGTGGCGTAACACGTTGGCGGCACCTCCAGTGCGAAGCGTTGAAGTGACAGCCACAGCAGCAACGCGTCGACTGACAACATCCAGCAGGGATTAAACGAAGACGAGTTGGCCTCCGAAGACAGCAACCGCCAGGCCAATTCCCGCCACCTGCACCCAGCCGAGTTGCCAACACCGTCACCTCGGCTTGGGCAGGCATTCGGATCTACCCACATCAGGGCATCATCCACTACACAAGAGGCCACTCCACCAATGGTGCTGTTCTGCCAGCCCCCTTCAAAGTTGGCATCCTCCGGCGGAGTGGTGAGCATGAGAATGGAGATGGTAAAATGGACGTTAGCATGGTTCCCCTCCACAAACAGGATGCACTGTTGGTGACAAGCTGCTTGGATGTGCATGGCCATGCCAAAGAGCCTGCTGGAGGATTTCAGCAGTGGAAGATGGCACTCGCCTGAGTGTCCGTGCGCTGGTAGCAAACCGGCTTCGCACATGCATCCTAAACCGAAGGCGACAGCCGGCAAGACGACGACCAAACGATACCAGACGAAAGCAAAAAAAACACAGGCACAAAGAGCAGCAACTCAGCGTGGGGAGGGCGGGAGGGTTGGGGACTTGGTGGGGGTGGGAGGGAAACGCACTTCGATCCTCCAATGCGGGCATGTCGGGAATAAAAACGGACATGAACCATGCGAAACCTCTGCGCCGGAAAGACAGCAAAACTTACGAATCCGAAAAATGCCCATTCCCACAGAGAACAAAGACACGTCAACAAAGCGAGGACAACGCATGAACGCATGTATCGCACACCAAAAGGGAAACAAGCATGGACACCCAAAAACACAACATTTGTGGTCTCTCTTTGTTTCCATCATTCTCTATCTATCTCTTTCTTTGCCGTTTTTGTTCTTTTTTTTGTTTTTTTACTGTCTCGTACACTCTATTTGTACGTTTGCAGTCTGATGTGACTAACCTGTTTCCGAAACCCAACCGTCGTGAGAAGCTGTGCGATTACAGTATGCCCGAAATCGATAGATAGAGTTAAACTCCCCGACCTCCTGGAAAACGAGCCTCTGCCCTTCCAGTCGAAACAATCCTGGCTAACGTGCAACGTTAGCCTGTGAGTTGGGGGGGGGGGGCGGGGCGGACAAAAAAATGAATCGAGCCCCCTACTTAAATATCGTCGTCGATTGCACAGCCCCTTAAGCATCCTTATCGTAAACTTGCAATGGCGTTGAAGTTGGCGCCTTGTACTTTAGGCTTTAAAGCCGTTCGACAAATGCCAACAGAGAATACACCAGATCTTTCCAAAGAGGCGCTCGGAGAAGCAGCTCTTCAGCCCTCAGAGACGGGGCACACGGACGAGCGCGGCTCGGTGAGTATTGCTTCCCTACAAGTACAAGGTTCACTGCAGTTATAATCTGTATGATCAGCAGACGTATTAACCCGCTTGGAAACTTCCCATGAGAAGCCTTGCAAATTCCAATAGTAGCTTTCGTAAAGTAGTGTAGGACAAGCCGAGAGCTTCTCCCCAAGAGCAAAATAAGTCGAAAATGGTTGCATAGCTTTCCAGTTTGAAGTCTGGAGTTGGGGGTGGGGATAATCCTGTGAATCTAGTGTTTGTGGGTTGAAGCTTTTCGGGGCTATGTCGTTGGCTTACTCGGGGCTGCAGGGCTGGACAAATTGAGAGCTAATGATATGTTTGAAAGGGGGGGTGGGAGGGTGGGTGGGTGGGATGCGGGATCTGTTTTTTTTTGTAATTTGCGGGAGGTTCTGTCCTGTTCCCCTTCGGCCCACCAGTTTGAGGCCTGATTGCGCGGAAAACCTCTGCAGGTTGGTCTGGACAAAGGTCGTGGAAGCGGTGGAAACAGGTTTGAAATCGGATTCATTATGGGGGACTACCTTAAGAACCCAAAAGCCACTTTTTTGTAGGTTCTTAATATAAACCCTAATATGGGATTTATAGGGACCCTACAAAAAAGTAGGTTTTGGGTTCTTAAGGTAGGGCTGAGGTTCTGGACCCTTTACCTCAAACCCCTTCAGAAGCCTTGTCGCAATCCTTAGGTGGTCGGCCGCTTTGGGCGTGTGGCCGCGGAGTTTTTCTCTCCTCCCGTCCACCGTGCGCAGAGCCGCGATTCTGAGAGCTCCTCGGACCTGTGGGGAATCATTGGATTGGTTCTCGGAGAATCGGGGCTTGAAGCCTCAGAATGTTTTGAAAGGTCTTTGAAAAGTAGTCTTTTGCCAGGGTCGCTGTCGATGGTTCTGCTGCAGCTGCTGGTTTTGAAAGCTTCGTCACCGGGTTGGCTCAGTTGGTAGTCCTGCAAGCAGGGCTCGGGGTGGGGTTTCCTGGCTTCCTTTGATTTCGTTGCAGGTGGGAGCCTTCAAGCTTTCTCTTTTGAAGGGGCGAGTCATGCTGAGGCTACCAAACTCAAGCTGAGACTGCTCACAGACCCAATGAAAGATCCTTCAATTTGATGCTCGACGCAACGCGCTTCGAAGCCTTCTGGCTTTCAAGCTCCGAATTCTGCAAAGTATCTAGTCGCTTCAACCCCCCCGGACCTGCAGCAGCGTAGGCTCCACCGGGCAGACGGGCTGGAAGAGCAACCAGGATCGATTGGAGCGCAATCCGATCAGCCAGCGCCCAGTCCGCATCTTTAGGGGCTCCTTGGGTAGCACATGTGTGGCCGTCTGAGCACATCATGAACAAGTCTTTACACCGCGTCGCCAGCGGGATCTAATCCGGCAAGGCAAACATTGGCAACAGCAGATGCGATAGGCCTATCTTAGCCATTGCTGTCGACGTATGAAGACTGCCCGGACCTCTCTTGGACGTTGTTTGTTGCAGCAGGTGTTTGTGGTCATGAAACCTTCGTCTTCCCCAACCGTGCAGGGCCTGCGATTCGCGTTCGGGTGGCCGAGGGCCACCGAGAAACCTAATTCCCCCTGAAACTCAGGATGTTCCTATAGTCTCCATTGTAGTTCCTTTTTGGGGATACCTTATAAAATCCTTAATATATAATTGGTTAAACCAAAAAAGGAACTACAATGGAGACTATAGGTTGGTTCCTTCTCTTTAGGAGTCCCAACCTCGTTCCGACATTCACAGTCCTCGCAGGTGATACGTTTCGTTACGTGCGTAAACCGGCATTTTGCAGCACAGACGCTTTTTGTGTTGGCCGTCGTTCGCCCGAGGAGTTTGCAAGAGCTGCTCACGGGCTGCTTGCCGGGAACCGACTCGGATGAAGGGCCGAAGGGCACACAAGGATGTAGAAGGTTTTCGTGTAAGCCTGGGACGAGGAAGTCTATGTCTATGTGGCTTGTTTTTTGGCTCTTTTGGGAGTTTGTTGCTTGGGCGGTAAGGTTGCGGGATGTCACGTCTCGACATTTACAAAGCAGGTTCAGGATCTTTACAAAGAAGCCGCCGTCAGGGATGTAGGGGCAACCAGAGAATCAGAAAGAGGCCAGAAGAGCCTTCGGGGGGGGCTTTGGGAAGGCCCTGGCCCAGTCATCGAAGTGCAGGCGCCAAACTCGAAACTATGACCTCACCTCACCGCCCGTCCCAAAGTTCAGTATTTTGAACCGACCACCTCCAAAGTCGGACATCGTAGTTGGCAAACCAGTCTGTTCTCCTTTGAAGAGCCACCAGCCTTGTCGTACTGGCTTCGCTGATGAAATTCTACGTGCTCTTTTTGCCAGCAATCCGGGCTACAATGAGCTGGATATCCCCTCTGCAAGAGAGGGCGCGCCTTTGCAAAACACCACGTCTTATTCAGGCTCTCAGCACAACGAAGAGACCGTGGGCTCCTACGCGCCTTGCTTGCAAGATGCACGGCATGACGTCAGATTCGAAGCAGGGGTCGACAGACAGTTGTTTAACAGGCAGCCAGCAGCAGGATCAAAGATGAGGGGTTCCCCGCACCCCAGGTCTGCACTAAAAAGATGCTTTCCGTCCCGGTCTTGTGCTTGCCCGTTGCTTGAACTACGCGATCGAAGTGGCAAGCCTGGCAGGATATGATCATATTCCTTGTCACGAGACGTATGTGACGGCTGAGGCGACCTTGCATCTAGCAATCCACTCCGCCAAGAACTTGCTGCCTGGAGACAAGATGCGGAAGCTGTGAGTAAGTACCTCCAGCCCTACACAGACTCTGCTGAAAGTTGTCCGAGCGGTGAGAGACCAGGCAGAGAGAGTCGAGTGAGCGAGCTCAGCACACTTGACCGTCTGCAAGAGCACCGACAGAAAGCTTGTCCAGGACAACCAACCATACCAGGTCCTAGAACACCCGAGAAGTAGCCCTGAACCTTAGGTTCGGGGCTTCTGGCAAGATATACCGGGACCTTAGTTTCTGTGTAGACCCATTACATCCCTTTGAACCCTCGAGCCTGCATGTGGTCAGCGCATTCTCACCTCAACTCCGTGAACCCCGAATTTGAGGGGTGAGACTGCCAGAATCACCTCAAATGTCGAGGTTGGCCATGGATGCGAGTGGCACCTCTGACCCGTACATTGAGATCTACGTGAACGACGTGCAAAGGGTGGGCTTCGCGAGCAAGTACCCTTGAAGTTTACAGGGAAAAGATGTCGGGGGAATGCAGAGCCCACATCTAGTGAGTCGTTTGCCTAGCGGAATAGGAGCCTCAGTTGTATAGGGCATCCCAAACAGAAAACAGCAGCTCCCGGCAAAGGGGGGGGGTCTTCGTCTCTGGTCCAGGCCAAGACCAAAACGGTCAAGCGGACGCTGAATCCCACGTTTGCTTTCGAGGAAGAGATTGCGATTTGGTCGCCATTTTCCATCGTGACGCTTCGCGCCGTGGATAAAGACATGCTCACCAAGGATGATCCGATTGGGTTTGTCGATTTTTGCGTCGCAGATCTGCACCCGAACGGTGAGGAAGTGCGGGGACAACTGGAGCTCCGGAAGATGGAGCACTTCGAAGGCACTGCCAAGAGACGGTTCTTGAAGCACCGTCGCCGGCGGGACGACACCTATGATGAAGATGAGCTCCAACCAAGCCCTGAGGCCGAGCGCGACCGCGACGACGCAGAAGATGACGGGACTATCTCTTCTTTTGCTGCCCTGATGGGCAAAAAGGGCCTGTCTCGGAGCATGTCCAAGGCAGCAGAAACAATGGTCAAGGCGGCAGAAATGGCAGAGAAAGTGAAGCCTAGAATTGTGACGACTCTGCAGACGAAGGTGGCGAACGTAAAGCCACCTCGGCCCGCCATGTGCTGCGGGGGCTTGAATGGGGAGAAGGATGAAACCTCTGGTTTCCTGCACTGGCGCAAGAAACGGCTGAATGCTGGTGAGATTGACATATCAATGAGACTGGAAACGCATATGCAGCCGTCCTACCCCGATCACGAGGTGCCGAAGCATGAGCTCCTCTACACAGCAGTCTTCGAACCCGAGAGGACACCAGTGTCACCAGTGTGGTTGCGGCTAGGGTCACAATGCACAGCAGAGTGTACCAATGATTGCCGATGCTTGTGGCAAGTCTCTTGCTGAGGTGCTGTTGTAATATAGGGGCCTTAATAATTGCCTACACTACTTTGGGGGGGTCCTTATTATAACTAAGACTATAGTATAAAGGGGCCCCAAACCCTATCCCAAGTACTAAGGCCCCTACATTAGAGGTGTTGGGATGAGGGGCTGCTTGGGCCATCCTGGGGCTTGGGACAGTTGACCGAATCCGTACCCAGGCATCGCAAGACAGCAAGATGATGGTGGTTGCATGGTACGTAATCATGATGGGAAGCCGTGACCATGAGAAGGATAAACAAAGAGTCATAGATAGAGATGAAATTACGGAACGTGTCAAGTGCGCGATTTTGCGAATGTAGCGGACTGCTGGCAACGTTTGTTTTTTGTTTCGGGGGTGGGGGGGGGGGGCAGGGCGGCCAGCAAATTGTAAAGCTAATATGAAGAAATAGTAGGGAACCGAAGCATAACATTTTCATGCATGCTTCATGTTTGCTTAAAATGCTTCTGCCCCCAGTTATCGTGTAGGCCATCATGGGCACTCACGAAATGGACTCTGGAGAACGGTCTGGAAATCCCTCGCAGCACAGGGTCGGGGTAAACGCCTGTTCCTAAGCCATCAGCTCCAGAACCCCTTCTAAGCGGCACCCAGAGCTTCGCAGAACGTGTTTGCCCTTCGCAGTGCTGGTCGACCGAGGAGGTTTCCGGACATAGCTTCCCATATTTGAAGACCCCGGAAACGTTCAGCAGGATCCAGGAGGTCGTCAAAGATGCTGAGTGGTTTGCCTGCTGCTTTCCCATGCCGCCGCTGGGCCCTACCAAGCTCAACGTGTGTTAACTTTGACCGCCGGTGAGACAGTTAGACCATGCTAGACTCTGACAGTGTAAACACCTGCGAGCGCCACGGGTCAGGTTGGCTGAGGAAGATTGTGACATCATGCACACGTATTGGTGTCTGTGCCTGTCCAATCTTGGCAATTCTCATAGTGAGCGGGTACTTCGTTTCTGCAAGCTAGAGACAGAAGGTTCTGCCTTATTCATGTTTGATGTTTGTAGGCCGGTTCTATGCAGGGCCTCAAGTTGGGGAAACGAGCCTCGCCAGACGGTTTGGTGTGACGAATTTCCGGGCGGAGACGAAAAGGCTAACAACAGCGTCCGCAAATTCTTGCACATGCTTCGTCTCCGGTCCTGCGAGTCAACCACAAGCTCGCAATTCCACGCGCTTTCTCTTGTAGCCCCTAAGTTCTTGCTTCATCCAGTGCGTCTCGGATCCTTGTATGAACTACTACATAGATGCGGCATCTGAAAGGGAGCTGTGCTTTTGAGCAGCTACCAGAGCGGAGTTTCCGTCGCCAGAGAACCAGCATAGGTCCTAATAGGAGGGTCCTCGTTCCCACACCCACTACAATGGGAGCTAGGATTCGGGGGACCCTTGGGGATATAGACCCTCTCAATAAGGTCCCTTTTAAGAGAGCCAAAAGTAGGGTTCAGAAGGGGTACCCTTTAAGGGGTACCCCTAGTAATACTACTACTACAAGAATGATTGGCCTTCGAGGTCTTTTCAGAGTGCCGAGCAGCTCTCAGACAAGTTTTCCGTCGACTCTTGGGACTCAGATGAAGTTGTTTTTTCAGGGCCTTCGGGGGTTGGTTGAAATCCACTGCTTAGGGCTTTGGGTTTTTAGCTAGAGGGCTTCCGGTACTTACCGGTTTTTGGCTACACGAATTTGTTATGGTGCTCTTGGGCAGCGTCAGCCGAAGAGTGGAAGTCTATCCGCAGTAGAAAGGTACACCCGCTCCCCAAAAACCAAAAGCTTAGATCCTAAACCCTAAACCCTAAACCCTAAACCCTAAACCCTGAACCCTAAAGATTCGCCGCCGAGGGTGCCATCAAAAGCTTTTGGGAGGATTTGCTTGAGGCGGTGGAGCAACTCCTGCAGGCCCATTGTGGTTGGGGTTTAGGGTCTAGGGTTTAGGGTTTAGGTCTTCGCAGGTGTCACAGTTCAGGCCTAAGGATTTGGGTTTTAGGATTTAGGTGTGACTTAGACTAATTTAGGGTCCATGGGTGTAAGAGTTTAGGCCGGGATCTGCAGTCATTCGAAAGAACTCGGCATGGATGTGGGGATTTCAGTGCTACACGCACCGTCTCGAGGCAGCGGGTTTGGCGCTCGAGGTCTCCTAGCTTTCTCAATTTGAAAGTCAGGGTTCAGGGCCTGGGAGTAGCTGAGGATCCTTCAATTATTCCACTATTGACTTGGAGATTCGTCTATGTGGGGGTTTCCGAAAATAGGGGACCCTAATATAGTACCCTAAAAAGTAGGATCCTTATTATAAGGACCCCAAAGTAAGGTACCCCTAATTTTCGGAAACTCCCATGTTAGCAGGTTGTCTGAATTTTTCTGAGACCACATCGGGGAGTTGATGACAAGCGGCAGACCAGATGTGCACATGTTTGCATAAGTAATGGTGACGACCTTAACATGGCAAACACCTAGTATCTCATGAATCACGAGCACAAGCACAGGGCGAGTTTGAGAGTTTCGATTCTTTGCCCCCCAGCTAGGAGACAGTTTCGATTCTTTGTACCCTTTCTGCAAGATCCCTTGGAGGTCTTCGTTTGGCCGATCTTCAACGTCTTCCTTCTGCCCTGGTGGCTGCAGTTGGCACTTGAGTTACTAATCGTATTTTGGGGGGGGGAAACTTATTAGAATTATAGTATAATATACCCCACAACCCTATTCTAATTATTAAGGCTCCTCGGCTTTCTAGGGTTCCGGCCTAAAGGCTGCCAGGCTTTGGAAAGCACTATGCCACTACGCCACTACTTCCGATTGCAGGATCGTGGGGTGGTACTACTGGCCTCTTTCTTTTGGTGCTCTGGCCTTCATGTGGCTCTGGTTCTTCTGCTTCGCAGAGATGATCTGCATCAGCCCTTTGGTGGTGCTGGCGCCGTGGCACCAACTGTGATTGCGCGTTCATGCAAATGGGGCGAGGGCTGGCGGGACTCTTGGAAGCTGTAGCAACAAGGACAAGCATAAAATTCACGGCGATGCTTGTGACTGCTTGTGTTAATTAGAAGCGGGAAATTGTGCTGTGCTGGATTCTGAAGCCCCAGCCAGTCCAGTACATCCTGTACTGTAGGCTTGCTTCCATGCGCTGCGGAACCGAAGCTGCTCCAACTTCTTGTTTGCGCATCCGAAAGTTGCGCCTTTGAACGAACAAGGCGCCCTGGGTTTCTTGAGGGGCTTCCTTTTGTCGCGTTTGTCGACACTACCGGCTCGAACGTGTTCTCCTAAGGTTCTCCTAGCTGAACAGCTCAAGCAGCGCAAGAGCAGAACAAGACATGTTTGCCGCACGAGTGAAACAACCTCTCGCCTGATGTGACTGATGTGACTCAGACACGGATAAAGACGAGACAGCACGTCCCAATATATATATATATATATATAATTATATAATATGTAATGTATATATATTAACATACTATAAGATCCTGAGACCCCTCTCTCGCAGGGTTGAAGATGGTTACCTTCCTCAGCAGCTCGAAGGCCAGCGTGTAGCCTGAAGTCGGAGAGGGTGATTCAGCATAAGACTGGTTTAGGGTTTAGGGTTTAGGGGTTTATTTATGACGGGTCACGCAGTGCGAGTGTGCGAGTCGAAGCCCCAAAACCCAAAATCCGAAAACCCAAGCACTTGAACACACCAAGCTGTAAGCCTCACGAGGTTCAAACATGTTCGATCTTTAAAGCCCTTCGAAGAACTCCAATTCTAAACGCTAAGCCCAACACCCTAAACCCTAAGCTTCCCTTGTGGTGAACTGAAAGCCAAACGGCCTCTACTCTTCTGAAGAGCTTCCCGGGAATTCCCGGGAATCCGGGTGGTGGTGTGAAGCCTTGGCTTATGGAAGGGTTTAGGGCTTAGGGCTTAGGGCTTAGGGTTTAGGGTGTAGGGCTTAGGGCTTAGGGTTCAGGGTTCAGGGTTCAGGGCTTCGGGTTTAGGGTTCAGGGTTTGGGGCTTAGGGCTTCGGGTTTAGGGGCTTCAGTTTCGTGGAGGCCATGGGGCTCTGGCTCAAACGACTGGTCAAGGACCAGGGGGGCTGGATCGACAAGCCGGCGGCACCGAGGCTGCAAGCAAGCGAAAGACCTTACCTGCGGCACTGGTTCGTCGGGCTTCGAGAAGGTATCCGAGAAGGTTTTAGGGAGTGCTGATTCTCGCGCTTGCATACGACTTGCGTTCAATCACTTCAGGACGTCATACAGTACAAAGGCCCCGTAGTTGCATTCCAAACTCGATCCGACCTGGCAACAACGTCCAGCCCTGGAGCCTTAAAGCCAATAATCCTGAAGCACAAGCCGAAAAGCCTTTGACTAAAAGCCGAGCTTTGTAGCCCAGGGGCTCAAGGAGTTTGCCAAGCGCACGCACAAGGATGGACAGCCCGCCTTGGCCTAAGAACGTGTGAGCTTTTGCTCGGCTTCAGGCCTTAGGTTCGGGGCCCTTTTCGAGTGGCGCTTCATAGAGCCTATAGACGTGACAGCTTGGGTTTTCATGCCAGGCACCGGATTTCGCGAACTTCGAGGACCTCTTGAGGACACTGCGGTCCTCCACATGCCGCACGGCAGCATGCTGGAGCCAGTGCGTTCATGTCGACCCTTACTGTTGTTGCTGTCGTCATTCACATCATTGTGGCTAAGTGTGAGGTCAAGTCAACAAGCCAAGCTCAACAGGGCTACGTCAAGAAGCAACCCAATTTCGCCAACACCTTGGACCGCAGTGAAATGGCAGCCCATGATAGACGAAGCTAGCCAGAGTCACTATGCCTCCGATGACAAATTTCGAGTATGGCTCGCAAGCGAAAGCCTGTTTTCGGAAAGGTTCGCACTTCATCTCCTGGCACAGACAGCCGACGAAGTGTCGCTACTGCGAGGAGAACAAGTGCGACAAGGGGCGCCCCGGGTGGCAAAACGTGATTGCTCAATGAAGACAAAAGCCTGTGCACCTGTTTAATCAATGCTTCATCTTCGAACATGTAACTGCGACTAGTAAGTGCGCGCTGACACGCGTGGTTCTTGTGAGCATCTTTGTGTAGGTTTGCGTGTCGCTACATGCAGTGTTCCAGTCGCTTCTGAGGAACTGCAGGTTGGAGTTCTGGGGTGATGGTGCCCGGCTCAGACATCCATAAAGCGTGGTCCTCGCAAGTCCTCGCAGTCCTGAGCTACAATGCAGGCAACTGCTTAAAACCGGATGTCTTCGTTGGATGTGTCGTTTCACCGGACAGCATTGAGTTCGAACAGAGTCATTAGACACCGAGGTGCCGTGTGCGGTGGTGATGCTAGCATCGAGGGGTGGCAGCTGTGGAAATGCTGCGGGCGGAAGTGCAAGAACAAGCGGGATGACGAACCGTGTTGTCCAGAAGGCTCACAAAAGGTTGAGAGAGACAGCTGGTTCGACATTTCCGTTCGGAGGTTCAAGCAAGGAGCTTTGTACGATGTAGCGAGTGGAAACGCACAGCTGCACAGTTCCGCAAAGCCGTGCGAGGCCGAGATGCCGAGCCTCCACGGCTGCACATCGGATGCCAGCGGTATCGCTGCCCCTGCTGCGACGCCTGGCGAGACAGCTGCAGTGTCTGAAGGGAGGATCATTGCAAGTATCGCAGATGATAGAATCTGAACATTCATTAACTTCCTCGCCCCAGGACGTTGTCCATTTGCTGTAGGCCCTAGCCTCTAAGCTCCAGAACAAAACGCCAGGTGTCAGAAACCTTCTGCTTTTTGTGCATGGTTTCGGCCGTGCATGGTCGGGTAGATTCCGCCAGCATCCCCAGGCCAAGAACGGTCTCCCGTCGCGGGACATCTGCGGAGCTTGTGTGCACGGCAGCACCGGCTCAATGATCATGCACATGGCAGAGACGTCCGCCGCGAAACAGCTGCCAATCTTCCGGAGTACGGTGATGAAGGACCCTGCCTGCTCTGTGATGTGGGAGTTTCCGAAAATAGGGGACCCCAATATAGTACCCTAATAATAGGATCCTTAATATAAGGACCCCAGAATAAGGTACCCCAATTTTCGGAAACCCCCATGTATCTGTGGCGGCTCAGACCCCCTCTTTTTGGCGCTCCTGCGGCCCTCTTGAGGCAATCAAGGAGGTGATCTACGACTCCGGTCCCATGCTGGAATCTCGGATGCCGGTAAATCCTGCAAGTTCGGTGACTGTAGTCATGACGGATCTGCACTGCACTTGTTGGAATTTTACGGCAATCCAGGGCAGATTCCTGGTCTGGTAACGTGAGCGCAAGACTCTAAACCCTGCACCCAAACCCAAACTCGTAGATTAGATTCCAAAACTACTCTTCGGCACTGCCAGCACGAGGAGCTCTTCCAGGATTTCATGAAGAGGGCCCTTCGTGTGCTGGAGCATTTGCGCACCGCCAAAAACCTAGACAAAGAGGCACTGGGTGTGCAGTTGCACATGCCCCCCCAGTATTGCTTCCGCCCCGTGTTGTGGTAGCACAATTCCCTAATTAGTCGTTCCATTCGTGAACTGCTGGTCCGCGGCACTCCTGTCCCGTCGAAGCCTTCCGTATGGAGCACAGGAAGCCTTGGACTTGAGTTTCGGGGTGGGTCCTGCTGGGTAACTTTCTTCAGAACGACGTCTGACGGCTCCTGCCACGTGCAGGTCGAGAAATATTCGGTGTATACGAGCGTCACGCTGCATGTGGCTGGGCTCCCATCAAAGGATGCAGCACAGGTTTGTTCTCACGAATGTGGTTGCAATATTTTTGGTGGCTCCCATGCTGCTTTGTGTTAACAAGATGTAAGACAATGTAAGCGTAAGCAACGAACGAAGCTGCGACCACACGGGTAAGCAACAGCAAGTCACAAGTACATATTGGAGGGTTTATGCGGAGACACGTACTGATCTGACACATGTTTTCGCGAACATGCTGGTAAGAGTGTACCAGTGTGAAGAAGCACGTACACACACACACACACACACACACACGCACACACGCGTACGCACTCTCAGAAGCACGCTTGCTTTCGTTGCACTGATTGCTCCTCACACTTTCGCTCTCTCCCTCTCACTCTGTCTCCCTCTCGCTCTCTCTCTCTCTCTCTTTGTCTCCCTCTCTCTCGCTCTCTCTCTGTCTCCCCGCCAGCCTGCCTGCCTGGCTGGCCTTCTGTCTGCCTGTCTGCCTGTCTGCCTGTCTGGGTGTCTGCCTGTCTGCCTGTCTGCCTGTCTGCCTGTCTGTTTGTCTGTTTGTCTGTTTGTCTGTCTGTCTGTCTGTCTGTCTGTCTGTCTGTCTGGCTGTCTGGCTGTCTGGCTGTCTGGCTGTCTGCATGCATGCATGTGACAATGTATGAACATATGTGT